TTCTAAGGTGCGAGCAAAAGAAAATGTATTGTGCAATAAATTTATGAATCAAGGAGTTATTTTAGGGCTACTGGGTGGCGTCAAATGTAATCTTTTGAAGGTCAGCAATTTCATGATCTTTGTTATTAGAAATTTCAAGGAGTATTGCAATACCTTACTCTGAATGATTTTTATGTAAATTATCTTGTTGGTCTTTCCAACTAAATTTAAAAAAAAAAAACACAAAGTTTACAACCATATTCACTGTTCTTCATCTTTGGAAGGTGCAGAGTTGACCACAGAACATAAGAGAATAGCCATCATTATTTAAGATTCACCAGAGATTCTAGGATAAAATTCAGTTTTCTTAAGATGGAAAAAAAGATGTTCAAAATCTGGCAATTAACTACCTTTCCAGGTTCATCTTCAGCATTATCAACACGTCACTCAATGTGGCATCCTGCAGAAACACACCCAAAGTCCGCCATACCTGGAAGGCCTCTTTGCATCAATGTGCTACTGCAGTGATGCCTTATGATTACTCATTCTGTGATGGGAAACTTCTATTCATTCTTCAAAGTGTAAGAAACACGTAACTCCTGCTATGGTCTCTTCTCAGTGACTCTTTAGGCAACATACAACTTTGTATGTTATCTACCTTAGATACAGTCCTATGCATACAAGTCAGATATGGTCATGTAGTCATGGCTCTCCATTTCTTCTAGAATCAGCTATGCAATCCCAGAAATGATTTTCAAGCACCTCTCCAGCTCAAACCACCTTCATCCTGACCATCCATTTGGAATTTCTTTCCATTCTTTGAATGTGCATGGTGTTGCTCAATTCTGTCTCACCTTAATTTAGTCATCCCCACAGGGCTCAAATTAAAGGTAAACCTTTTAAGAAGTTTCCCTTGATCCCTAAACTAGGTTAGGTCAATTTGCTCCCAATTTCCAATGGCCTTTTCAGTCTCTATTATAATGCTCTTCATTTATAATTGCTTGTTGGCTTTCTCTAGAGCAGTGGTTCTCAACCTTCCTAATGCCACGACCCTTTAATACAGTTCCTCATGTTGTGGTGACCCCCCCAATTTCATTGTTACAAATTGAACAGAATTAAAGCATAGTGATTAATCACAAAAACAATATGTAATTATATATGTGTTTTCCGATGGTCTTAGGCGACCCCTGTGAAAGGGTCGTTCGACAATTCAACAGTTACTGAAAACCTACTATGTGCCTGGCATCATCATAATTTCCAAGGATGCATAATATCATAAAACATAGCTCTGGTACTGAAGAAATTCAAAAAGTATGTAAGCAAGGGTGTAAATAAGTTTGCTGCCTAGTTAGACTTATTTTTCAAGGGTATATTTCTTTTCTTAATCCTCACCCAAGGATATTTTTTACATTGACTTTGTTTTGAGAGAGAGAGAGAGAGAGAGAGAGAGAGAGAGAGAGAGAGAGAGAGAGAAACAATGTGAGAGAGACACATGGACTGGTTGCACATGCCAAGACCAGGGCTGGAGATCGAACCTGCGACCCTTCAGTGTGAAGGCCAATGTTCTAACCACTACTGGTAAGTAAGTCTGGCCAGGGCTAAGGGTAGATTCTTGATCTAAGTCTGGCTAATATATATCCTTTCTTCCTACAGACCACAGTGATTGATTCAAAAATGGACATGTGATACAATAGCTTTTATCAAAGTAAATCCAAGAACCTGTCTAAGAGATACCAGAAAGGAAACACTTTCTCTCCTTGTGTTGGTCACAAACTTAGCATGCCTAGTGTTGCAGCCAGTGCCATAGCCACCTCATGAGACTAAGAAGATAAAGCAAAAGAAGAACACATATATACAATGGAAAACTACTCAAGCATAAGAAAAGATGAAATACTGCAATTTGTGACAACATGGATGGATCTTGAAAATATCATGCTAAGTGAAATGAATCAGATGGAAAAAGTTAAGAACCATATAATTTCACTCATATGTGGGACTGAAAACAACAAAGGAATAAATAATACAAACAAATAAGAACTCATAGACACAGACAACAGTATGGTGGTTACCAGGGGGAAGGAGATGGGAGGTGGGTAGCAAAAGGGGTCAAATATATGATGGTACAAAAAAATTAACTTTGGGTGGTATACACAATGCAATAAACAAATGATGTACTGTAGACTTGAAACTTATAGAAACTTATTAACCAATGTTACCCTAATAAATGTAAAAAAAAGTAATAACAGAACTGAGAGACAAAGAAAGACTATTTGAGCCCCCAAATAATTATGTATATGATATATTCCTGAATATTTCAGTTATGTGAGACAATACATTCCCTCTTATTAATGTAGTGTTGTTTATTATACCAAATTTGAGTTAGGCTTTCCCTCACATGCAATAGATTTTCTTATGAATTAACACAGAGTCACAGATAGGCAACATTTTAATTGCATCTTAATAGTTAAGGAGCAATTTGCAGGGAGGAAAATACTATCTATATTAACAAAAGGGTAATATGCTAATTAGACTGGAAGTTCTTCAGGACAAAGCCAAGGTGGCAAAGGCTGAGGCAGAGGAGGTTAGGGGCAATCAGGCCAGCAGGGGAGAGCAGTTTGGGGGTATTAGACTAGCAAGAGAGAGCAGTTAGGGGGCAATCAGGCTGGCAGGGAAGAGCAGTTAGGCAGATCAGGCTAGCAAGGGAGAACAGTTAGGGGGTATCACACCGGTAGGCAGAGGCAGTTAGGGGCGATCAGGCCTGCAGGGGAGAGCAATTAGGTGGGGGTCAGGCCAGCAAGACAGAGCAGTTAAGGGGCGATCAGGCCGGCGGAGGAAAGCAGTTTGTGGCAATCAGGCCAGCAGGGAAGAGTAGTTAGGGGGTGATCAGGCTGGCACGAAGAGGTGATTAGGCTGGCACGAAGAGGTGATTATGGGCGATCAGATAGGCAGCCACACGTGGTTAGGGGCATCAGGCTGGCAGGCCAGGGAACAGTTAGGGGGTGATCAGGCCAGCAAGCAGAAGTGGTTAGGGGTGATCTGGCTGGCAGGGAGGCAAGTGGTTTGGAGCCAGTCTCTGGCAATCCGGGACTACCTGCACAGATGGGGCCTAAACCAGTAGTCAGATACTCTCAAGGGATCCCAAATTGGAGAGGTTACAGGCCAGGCTGAGGGACACTCCCCCTTTCCCCCGCTGCCGCCTGTGCATGAATTTCATGCACTGGGCCTCTAATTAATAGTAGTAACATTGTTAATCTCTTATTTTTTCACAGTGCTGTGTCACGATTTTAAGTAATGTGCATGTATTAAGAAATAGCATGTGCAATGCTCAAAGGTATAAAAGAAACTGTGTTTGAGGTATATAGTGAGTAGCTCAGTGTCTTCAATAGGTTGTTTACTAGGAGAAGAAGGGGATCAAAAGACAAAGACAAGAAAGAAATACACCACTGCATCAACATTGCAAATAATTCCACATGAGATTCTAATAGCAACTCTGAGTCCATTTCTATGCAATAAAATATATAAATGTAGTTAATCAAGCCATTCAGAATTTCTAATAACTAAAGTTTTTCTTAAAAAATAAAACTTAATTGGATGCAGATTTCATTCATAAAAGCTCCAAATAGTGTGTTATAGCAGAATTCCAGGTAGGTTATTGACTTGTTCTAGGTAAAATTAGGCAACTTTAATATGAGTTAAAATGAAATGCAATTCTCAGCTGCAAATCTGTAACTGTTTCCACAGTACCCCATGTACCAACCAGTTTTGTTTTCTTTAATCTCCACAGACACAACAGCATAGGGTTAAAGAAGTATAGATTAGCACTCAATAAAAGTGTTCTTCTCAGCTCTATTACTTAATAACAGGTGACTCCCAGGTAGTAGCTTACTTTTACAGTCTCTTTTTCTCATCTATAACATGGGGATTAAATGTATCATTTTCTCCACAGGGTTACTTTGAAAATTAAATAAGAAAATATTTAGCACAATGTCAAAAATGCACATACTTTGTTCCTACCTAGTCATAACTACATACATGTTTTATAATAACAGTAGTGTACCTCTATCCTCTTCTCTTTATGTCCAAGTGATGTGAATATAATACATTTTCAGCAATACCTAAGTATAAGCCCACTTTGTCCTAGAACAGTGATGGCGAACCTATGACACGCGTGTCAGAGGTGACACACGAACTCATTTTTTTGGTTGATTTTTCTTTGTTAAATGGCATTTAAATATATAAAATAAATATCAAAAATATAAGTCTTTGTTTTACTATGGTTGCAAATATCAAAAAATTTTTATATGTGACACGGCACCAGAGTTAAGTTAGGGTTTTTCAAAATGCTGACACTCAAAATGCTAAGCTCAAAAGGTTCGCCATCACTGTCGTAGAATGTGATCATGTTTCTTTATTAGAGCGCATTTGAAGGTTGGGATAAGAGGGCTCAGATAAGTAGTAGGAACCAGAAACACATTAGATAATGTGTGTTTTTTTCTAAGTAGAAAGAAATGCAAAGTTGTATCTTATATTAAATTCATTTTTGAGAGCTATGAGAAATCTGATCATGATAAAATGTGAATTAACACTTGCTATCTGCAATAAATCTGATGTCAGTGCTGTAAAAATAAGGTTCTTTGTTGATTCGAAAGAGATCATCTCTATAGGGCCTTTGGTTAGCTCTGCTTGAAATGACCACCTGTGGTTCTCAAGCCTCTTCATCAGAGGCTTGTTTGAAGTAATGAATCAGATATGCATGGTTCCATTTCCAGAGCCAGATGAGGGGGAAACAAATTGGTTAACACCATGTTGGTGTGAGCTTGCCAAGTGGCAGGCCAACAGCTGGCCATGAAGAACAAACAGAAAGTCTGCAGACATAGAAGGCAAAGTAACTGACAGCTGAGGCACATTTGCACTGTGGATTGTTCCTTAGGCCCAAGGCCAGAAGTTAATCCCTTGATGGAGGAGCCACCTTTGGACTCTAAACTTTGCTCCAGTAAAGAGATGGGAAGCGAGAAACTTACTGTTCAGGAATGGCCATCAGATTGTTTCACTTCAGCTTTGGTTCATCTGGCTGGTGTTTGGGGACCTGGTGGGAAAATAAGGGGATAGAGCTATTTAATGAACCAGAAAGACTGGATGAGGAAGGAGGAAATGCAATACTTAAGATGCGGTGCAAGGATCTGAGCAAACAGTGATGAATCAGCAGGGAACCTTGAGGATAGAGATATTAGGCTCCTTACATTAGGGCCAAAGATTAGGCCTAACATACTCTAAAGACTTTTGTGATCCCAGATAGATTTAAAAACCAAAGAGTGAGATGAGAAGCAAGAAAGATACAGGAAACACAATAAAGAAACATGAAGAAAAGGGAGAGTCAGGCACATCATAAAATGATGCATTTACTCAACAAGTAAATGATACTCAAGTATCATCCTGCAATGACACTTGGAAGTCCTCAAGGCACACTACCTTATACCTAGCTCAGAATGTCTTATACACCTCAATCCCCTCTCAATCTTTGAACCTCTCCTGCCTGTGGGCTCTCTGACTGGCTAATGTAATGCAGGGTTCCCATACAAATATATGTATTAAATTTAGTTATTTTTTTCTTGCTAATCTGTCTCATGTCTGTTTGATTATTGGACCAGCAAGAAGAATCTCAAGGGTAGAGGAAATTTTTTTTTCCTTCCCCACACCCTAAATCAGACACTGGTGATAGAAAGGCAATTAAAATCTCCACCTTTGAGGAATTCATACTCCAGAGGCAAGAAAGGTGAGAAAACAGATAAGTTCAATGCAAAATGATGTGGGGCCAAGAGGTAAAGAGCAAAAAAACGGACTATTATAGGAAGTCATAGGACATCATATACACATAAAATGACAAGAAAATCTATGTTCCTCAGAGAAGTTCAAGAAAAATAAAATTAATAACTTGTGGATGATAATGCAGAGTCATGTGTTTTCAAAATATATCATGGAAGGATTTGCTTGTTTTAGACTGTGACAGATGCACAGTCAGGGAATAGACTAAAATCAGAATTCCTTTTAAATACAGTTTATTTTAAAATGTAAACCTGAAATGTATCCAAATATCACTTAATTTTCAGATTTTCAAAGGGTACCTTATTGTGGCATCCCCACATATGTTACATCAGGCAGCATCTGGCACAAGGAAGAGCCAGCAACAGTGCACTGTTTTAAAGGCTGCAGTTTAGAGAGGAAAACCTTTGCGACTAGCGCTAATCTGTCAGTAATTTGAGAATTAAAAAGTGAGGGCAATTTGATGTCTATGAGAGATGTAGTACCACTACCGAAACATAAGCATTAGTCACTTCAAACTATTTAAACTTTTGAATGCCCATTGTCATTTTCAAAGGGACAATAGTGAAAAAGAGCAAAGGCAGTAGCCCCCTCCAGGAGCTAACATGGTTTTCTTTTCTTCTGGCTCTGAATTATCAGGAGCAGTTGTCTTATTTTGGCTTGAACTGAAATCATTAAGATCCAAAGTATTTATTTTGGAAAGGAGAAATATCTGTAAAAGTTTAGTGTTTTTGAGCTCAGACAACACATTAGCCAATGTCATATTTACATTCTGACTGACTACCAGGTGTGTCAGCAGCACCTGCATTTAAAGCAAGGGTCCAGACCAAAGCCAGTTTGAGAAAAGAATTTTATGTAGAAAAGAAAGATAGTAAGCCTGATAAGAATCAGACATTTGTAAGGTCTAAATTTTAACATTAAATTTTAACCATCTGACATAAGATGAAGAGAAAAGAGGGCTTAAGAGGAAACAGTAAATCCATGTTGGAAGAGATAAATTTTCCAAAAAGTTGCACTGGTTAATTGGAGGTGAGTTGGGAGTGCTTTGATGTCTGGCACAGGCTCTGAGTTAGGAACAATAGAGAAGGCTCCTGCAGGTCCCAGGCACATTCTGCAGGGAGGTGTGGGAATCTGGGATCACTCGGCGAAGAGCCATAAGTGAATAGGGTGTCATCATGCTGGTGCCCTGAGTGATCAGAGAATTCTACTGGGGCTTCCACACTTGGTTTGCTCTTTGAAACTTGAGACTATTTCTGGAATGTACCAGCAGAGTGGTTAAGAACCGTGGTTCTTAACTCAGAAAAACCCAAGTGAGCGGCTAAGTCCTGGCTGTTTCCTCACTTGAAAAGCGATGATAGTAAGAGTATTTATTTCATAGGATTGTTGGAAACTTTCCATGAGCTAAAGTGGACAAAATGCAGCACAGATCAGTTCCACATCCCTCAAATAATATATGCTTTTATATTTCTTCTTCTTAATAATATTAGAAAAATATTTGAGCAGACTGGATGTTTTTCTGTGGGAAATGTGGGCATGGCCTTACTGCATTGTATTGGATATCATAACAATATTAACTGGATTTAACTTTGTCATATTAAATTAATATAGTTATTTAATAGGAAACCTAGTTTAGATAAAAGAATTATAACAACAAAATAATAACAATAACAGCTAATGTTTCAGAGCTTCATTATCACGCTTCCTCTGGAGAAATAGTCTACAGATAAAGAAAATGAAGTTCAAACAGGTGAAGTTCATTATCCAAGGCCATACAGCCACAGTGCAGTAGAGATGAGATCAAACCTAAGCCTTTAATACAGGTAAAATTTCCCTTACTTACTAATTCATTTATCAGTTATTGTACCAGTTGACTTTTGCTCTATAACAAATCTTCCTAAAACTTAAAGACTTAAAAAAAATACACACAAAACCACACATTTATGTTTTCTCATGATTTGGGGTTGGTGACACTTTCTTCTGGTCCGGATAACTGTCTCTGGGCTGCATGACTTCATATGGTCTCAAAAAGATGCAGTGTGTCCCTGGCTGGTTTGGCTCAGTTGATAGAAGGGACTCTGCAGATTGAAGGGTCCCAGGTTTGATTCCAGCCAAGGGCACATGCCTGTGTTGGGGTTTGATCCCCAATGGGAGGTATGCAGGAGACACCTGATCAATGATTCTCTCTCATCACTGACGTGTCTATTTCCCTCCCCCTCTCCCTTCCTCTCTGAAATTAAGAAAAATGGATTTCAAAACATTGGCAGTGTGGCCCCGGTTGTGTGGGTCAGTGGTTGAGTGCCGACCTCTGAACCAGGAGGTCGCAGTTTGATTCTCAGGCAGGGCATGTGCCCAGGTTGCGGGGAGTGCAGAAGGCTGCAGATTGATGTTCTCTCTCATCATCAATATCTCTATCTCTCTCTTCCTCTCCCTGCCTCTCTGAAATCAACAAAAAATATTTTATAAACATTGGAAGGGTAGCTGGTCTCGGAGGTCTCAGCTGAGATGATTCCTCTCTGCTCCACCATCAGTAGAGCGGCCTGGGCTTTCTCCCATGGCAGTCTCAGGGATCCAAGGAGCAGGAGTGAGCAAGCCCCCAAACACAAACGCTTTTCACACCTATGTGTGTGCTCTATTTCCCACTGTTTCAGTGGCTAAAACAGGCCATATGGCCAAGTTCAGAGTACCTGAGTATAGGAAGCAATGGACAAGTGAAAGTGGTGGCAGTAAACTTGCCAACATTTTAATATCTCTTAGCCCTGAGTGGTCAAAGTCCAGGTAATTTTTTTTTTTTTTACTTTTCTTCATTTCCAAAAATAATCATGTATTACTTTTATAATAATAAAATACACATTTCTGAAATGAGTTAAAAAATTGAACCAGGATTACTTCTGTCCTCATCTTATTGCTCTACTCATTCTTCCAATGTGATCTCATGAATTATTGTTCTTCAATTATGATTTACATGCCAATAATTCCCAAATCCATACTCTCAGCACAGTTCTCACATAAGCATTCCCAAACGGTCTCTCTGAATGCCTGCAGGACACATTGCCTTGGAAGGGTGCCGGTCTAGTATTTGAAAAATGAAAATGTGATTGTTACTCTTGCCCTTTCCTGCTTAAAGCCACTTCCAGGGTCTGACCTTGCCCCTCTCTTCCACCTTCCACTCACTCATTCTGTTATGCCTACAGGCAGTTTTCTTGCAGGATGCATTTGCATTTTTTTTTTTTTTGCCAGTTTTTCCAGAGCTGCAAGCTCTCTTTTGCCACAAGTTTTACTCATGCAGTTTCTCTTGTCTCAAGCCCCAGAAATACCTTTCTCTCCTTTGAATGGAAACTCATCTTTATGATCACAGCAAAAGGATTACTCTTCTAACCACTCAATGTAGGTTAGGTTCCCAAACTTCAGAACATTCATCTCAGGATGTCATTAGAAATTATGAGTTATTCCATTTCTCAACTCAAAGGCACTTCCCCCTGGAAGCCTTCCTTGACCATCCAAACATAGCTCATAAGCCCTTTTCATGTGTTTTGAGAGTACCTTAAACTTCATTTGCAATGCAACTTGTAATATAAATTGCATTGCACAAAATTTGTGCATGGGAGGGAAGGAGGTCTCTCAGCCCGGCCTGCACCCTCTTGTAATCTGAGACGCCTAGGGGGATGTCCAGCAGTCAGACATCCCCCTCACAATCCAGGACCACTAGCTCCTAACTGCTCATCTGCCTGCCTGCCTGATCACCTCTAACTGCTCACCTGCCTGCCTCATCACTCATAACCACCTCTGCCTACCTGCCTGATGCACCTAACCACTCTGCCTGCCTGCCTGATCACCCCTAAAACTTGCCTGCCTGCCTGATTGACCCTAACCACTCTACATGCATGCTCAATCGCCCCTAACCACTCTGTCTGCCTGCCTGATCGCCCAACCGCCACTGCCTGCCTGCCTGATGGCCCAACCGCCTCTGCCTGCCTGCCTGATTGCCCCTAACCACTTGCCTGTTTGCCTGATCACCGCTAACTGCTCACCTGCCTGCCTAATTGCCCATAAACACCTCTGCTTAGGCCCCCACTGCAGTGGCTTCATCCAGAAGGTCATTCGGCTGTTCAGTCTAATTAGCATATTATGCTTTTATTATTATAGATTATATTGTATTATACTAGAGGCCCGGTGCATGAAAACACATGCACTGGAGGGATGGGGGTCCCTCAGCCCAGCCTGCCCCCTCTCACAGTCTGGGAGCCATCAGGGGATGTCCTACTGATG